GAGGAGGAGGAGACTACACACATATATATATATACACACATATTATCATGTTCGCTTGGCCTCTGCTCCAATGTAGACAATGACAACATGTTCTGTCATGCTCCGTTCTGGACGGGCTGGCGTGACGTCGTGACGCCTGTCACGATAGACACGACGTCGAATCCGTCGTTGCTGCGCCTGTTGGTTCCTGTGGTCAGCCTGACCTCGGCGCGCACGTCGGGTTTCACTATCCCCGCCGACCTTGTCGGCGTGTGGAAAGCGATCTTCTGCTTGTCGCCATCGTCGTCGTCGTGTCGTCTCCATCGTCTCCTCGTCGTGTCCGTCGCCATCTCCGTCTCCGTCGTCTCCTCGTCGTCTCCGTCGATCGTCGTCTCCTTCGTCCCCCGTCTCCTCTCCCCGGTCCCTCTTCCAGCGCGCCAGCCAGCCAAATCGACACTGAGCAACGTTGCAGCCGAGTCGGAGGGTAGCCCCTTCCCTTGATCCCTTCCCCGCCGAGGGGGGAGGGGGGGGGTCCAGGGGGAGGGGTCCCAAGGGGTGGGTCTGGGGGGGTCTCGAGGACCGTTTTGGGGGCCCCCTCGGGCACTCTTGCCGCGCCTCGGGGTTTCTCTGGGGTCCCGAACCGCACCGGGGGAATGCGTTTGGTCCAAGACGCCAAAGTAACCTCCAGACGGCTCAAAAGGTGTTCAAACCGCCCCAAGAGGCCTCCAAGAGCACTCCCAAGGGAGCCCCAAGAACAACACTCACAGACTCCCCTAGAGTCGTTTGAAAGATTTTGGCATTCTCGCCTTGTCGGCTTCGCAACGCTCTGAGACAGCCCAAGAGGCCCCCAAGATCGCCCAAGAGGCCTCCATGAGGGCCCAAGGGTCCCCAAGACGGCTCCAAGAGGGAGCCCAGACGGGGGCCCGAACAGACATTTCGAGCCCTCTGCCTGAGAGGCTCCCAGGCGGCCCCTAGAGGCCCCCAAGAAACACCACGAGAGGGCCCAAGAGGCCCCCCAAAGACCCCTAGGGAGCCCCAGGAGGCCTCCACGAGGCTCCCAAGAGGCCCCCAAGAACCTCCCGAGAGGCCCCAAAACTGCCCCACGAGGCCCCCGAGAGCGCTCGCCGTCGTCGTCGTCGTCGTCGTCGTCGTCGTCGTACTCATCTTCGTCGTCGTCGCGGCCGTCGTCTTCGTCGTCGTCGTCGTCGTCGTCGCCGTCACCGTCGCCGTCGCCGTCGCCGTCGCCGTCGCCGTCGCAGTCACCGTCGTGTCGCCGTCGCCGTCGCCGCCGCCGTCGCCGTCGCCGTGACCGTCGCCGCCGCCGCCGCCGTCTTCGTCATCGTCGTCGTCATCGCCATCGTCTTCGCCGCCGCCGTCGGTATCGTCGTCGTCGTCGTCGTCGTCGCCGTCGCCGTCACGTCGTCGTCGCGTCGTCGTCGCCGTCGCCGTCGCACACCGTCGTGTCGCCGTCGCCGTCGCCGCCGCCGTCGCCGTCGCCGTGACCGTCGCCGCCGCCGCCGCCGTCTTCGTCATCGTCGTCGTCATCGCCATCGTCTTCGCCGCCGCCGTCGGTATCGTCGTCGTCGTCGTCGTCGTCGTCTTCGTCGTTGTCGTTGTCGTTCAGGGTCGGCGGCACTGGGCGTAAAGCCACTTCGATACGAGTACGGTACAATATGTTATGAGGTTCCTCGCCAAGTACGTGTTCTCTTTCGTTGAAATATGATGTGGTATGCTCTCCTCTATGGCAACAACATGAATTGGTATAGTATGGCGTGCTTCGCTATGTGGCGCCATGTTATGGCATGGTACGGCGAGCTTGATTAGAGTATGCAATGTTCAGCGGTGATGTTTAGATGATGCTCAATTCACTTAGATGTTGTATGATCTGCTAAGTCGCGGCATACCTGTTCAGTGCCGTCATAGTCTCTGATATGAACTCCTTGCAGTAGTGGCACTAGTAGAGCAATGCTGATATTTTACAATGTGCGATGTTCACTTGTCGATGTCATGGTATGCTATGGCATGGGTTGTTTGTCTGTCATATATCAAAGAGGATGGTGTCAGCAAGCGTAAAAGCATGCATGCTATGGGGTGTGATGCTGTACTATACTATGCTCGGGCACGTCATGATTTACATTGTGATGTGTGTGATGCTGTGCTATACTATGCGGTATGCCATGCTCTGCTCCGTCATGACATGGTAGTGTAGGCTTGGTTGTGCGATGCTATGGTCTGACATTCTGTCCATGCTGTACAACGCTGTGTAATCATGTGTGTTGTCATGCTATGGAATGCTTGAGCGTGGCATGACGTGATGCAATGTGATATGATGATATAGTATGCCATGGTGTGCTAGGGTATGCTCTTCTCTGATATGGTATGCGATGGTATGCCATTGTATGGAATGGTATGAGATGTTATGTTAGCCTGATGTGTATGGCCCGACCTAGCACCGCGTGAGATGCGATGCTGCCGTATGCTATGCTGTACCGTGTAATGCGCTGTTCTGTTATGCGATGTTGTTGGATGACCATATACAATTTGTGTGGACTGAGAAATTCTGACATGATATGCGGCGCTCTTGCATGGATTGAACTGTCAAGATGTGGAATAGTGTGTTCCGTGATGCTGCGTTACGCTGTTATGTGGTGTGCCATGGGATGAAATGTTATTGTGTGCCCTGTCATGCTGGGACATAACGCGTAATGGTATGCTCTGTCACGTGTGATTCGCTCTGTCATTGCGTGCGTTATGATGCTGCGTTATGGTATGGCCTGACCTGTACTTGTGGTATATAATCGTTATGTTACTGAATTGTATGATGCGTTGTGTGCTATGCTGTGTTATACGTGATCCTCTCTGCCCTTGTATGTGCTGCTAGTGCGTGCCATGCTATGATATGGAATGTCACGCTATGGACAAATATGCAATTGCCACCGTCATGTCATCTTATGCTATGCTATGCCACGCCGCGCTCTGCCATGGTATGACTTGTCATGATGCAGACTGCTAGACTGCTATGTGTTACGTACGATGTGAAGTGTGACAGATGCTGCATTCTGTCAGGTTCTGCCGTCCTCGTCGGGAGGACGAGGCGGGGGTCTCCGGCGGCTCTCTGCGAGCCCGGGGATCTGGCGGCCGCGGTGCGCAGGGTGGACGGGCCGGGAAGTCCGCTCCCAGGCGGGAAACAGCCTCGGACCGCCGCCGCCGCCGTGACCGCCGCCGCCGCCGCCCTCGCGACCACCGCTTGCTGCCATCCCGCTCGGCCGGCTGCGCTCCGAGCGTGGGTCTGTTGTGCTGGGAAAGCAAAAGGCGCCGCCGCGGGCCCCCCTCTCGCTCCTCTGGATGTATGTACAGGAACGCGGGCTGTCGTCTTCCGCATCCCCCCTCCCTGCTCCCCCTGCATTCCCCCTCCCATCCCCTCCCATCCACCCCCTCCTCCCTCGAGGGGCGCGCAGACATGGATTAGCGATCTATGGATTTGGCGCGCGGTCGCCAAACCCGTGGATCGGGGGAGGTGCGCTCCCCAAAATGCGGGCGGGGCCGCCTCGTTCGGCTGGGGAAATCCGCGATTATGTTTGTGATCGCCTGACTCCCATGTCCCTCCTCCCCCCCCCCATCCCTCCCCCTCCTCTGGCCGCGCCTCCTCTTCCCCCGCCCCCGCCCCTTCCAAAGATCCCAGGCTCTGACAATTTTGTCGTTCTCGAGGACTCCTCGCCGGGCCCCAGGGCCGTCAAGAAGACTCGGGACGAGAAAGCTGCCCCAGGGAAGAGTTGTCCAGACCTCCGGGGGCCCACGCATCGAGAACACATGTTAGAAGCTGGGCATAGGCTGGCAAATCCGTGGCTGCTAAAATAGTTGTCCCGGACTCAGCGCACAAAATAGTAAACGGGCTGCTTCCCGAACAAAAGCAACAACTTCCCGAAACTCCGTTTCAGCAGCCACGGGTTTGCCAGCCGTCGCCCGGCTGCTGAACAGAGCGGCCCGGTGTCTGGACCTCCCGTCCTCGTCCCCCCTCCATCCCTTCCCCTCCTCCCCCCAGCTCATCAGCCACTCCACCCTCTCCTTCCGAAGGCAAGGGACTAAGGAACGCACGCATTTTCTGGATGGGCACTGCAGGCTGGGGCCAAGGCCAGGGTCGGGGCGAGTGGGGCCAAGGCCAGGGGACAGGCTGAGTTCAGCCAGGGCCAGAGGTCTGGGGCTTGGACCAGAAGCCAGTGGTCTGGGTTGGGGCGAGGGGGCCAGGGGAAGCGGGCCAGAGCCAGGGGGGCGACGACGAACCACGAACCACGAAAATAAAGGGTGCGGGGCGAGGGCCAGGGCCAGGGGACGCCAGAGCCAAAGAGGGAGGCTGGACCAGGAGCCAGGAGGTCCGGTTTGGGGCGAGAAGGCCAGGGGAATGGGGGGCAGGGGGACGACGACGAGGATGGGGGGCCAGAGCCAGGGGGACGACGACGAACCACGAACCACGAAAATAAAGAGGTCCAAGCTCTGGAACACAACTGTGCAAGATAATAAATCATATTCGATAGCCCTGCTTCACGTGGAGTGATGATGTTGCCAGCCAGCATAAGAAGATAGCAACGTCGATTTGCAACTTCCCCCCGCGATAATAAACATCGGCCTTGCTGCCCGTCTCACCCGACCAAATCTGCTTCGGCCGGGGATAAAAAAAACTCTCAGGGGTTAAGGGGTTAAGGGGTTAAGGGGATAACAAAAAACTCTCAGGGGTTAAGGGGGGGAATGATTTATTCTCCGGGGGGGTCGGTGAATTGCGTCTGTGATTTTTTCCCCTCCCGAACTCCTTCCTCCAACTCCTCCGCCACCGCCCGGCCCCACTCCCCACACCTTCCACCTGTTCGTCCTGCCCCCCTCTTAGTGAACAGCGCTAAGGGAGGACGGGCCCGAGAGGGGGACGCACCGACTTGAAATGGGCGATACATCGCAGACAAATCGGCGATCGGACCCCGCTAACGAATTCTACATGTTCCTGGGCGACATGGGCTATCGGCCCACAATCGGTGGTCAATGGGCGATCAAGGGTCAATGCATCCCCCATTGCCTATCCGTCCCGAGCCGTGCCCATGGACCCCCCTCTCACGCACTCCCTCACCCACTAATCAGTGGAGCGCAACGTCACTGAATCGATACAAAATGAGAAGCATCTCGTTCTTAGACGTGATGCATCGTGACGCAGCCGCAGCATGCCTTCCTGCGTCCGTACTCCAACACCACACACCACCTGTGGCGTGGTACCACACAACCCCTCCCCCCCTCGATCCTCCTTACCCTGGGAGGTCAAAATCTTGGAAATAAAACCTCCTGAAAGCATCCCTTGAAACCATGCTCCGCAAAGAAATTTGTGCTGAGAAAGTTCTGGCCAAGAGTGCGAAGTAATTCGAGCCCTGGTCACGAGTCTGATGCCCTCCCACCCCGGGGAAGAAACAAACCAACAACAAGAACACAACGTCAGGATCCTTCCTCCAAGTGTCCCCTCTGCCCACTCCCCTTTTTCGCCTTTTTTTTCCCGTTTCCTTCCTCCTGGTCCTCATCCTCCCCATCATTCCCCCCGTCCTCCGAAGCCCACGGACTACGGCGCCGGCGGGGCGTCACACCCACGCCGCACCGCCCATTCCTGGTCGAACTACTAACTCGCGTCATTAGTGGATCCGCGTGACGCGTGGGAAACATGTATGACACAGGGCGCCCACGTCCGCAGGGGAAGTCAGACTAAGAGCCTCTTCCATCCTCCATCCTCCCGTCGCTTCCTTCCTCCACTCCTCCTTCTCATCTAATCGATCGTAGACATCGTAGTCCTCCGCGACCCCCTCCTCTCATCCTCCCGCCCAGCTCCTTGTTTGTTTCCTCCTCATCGTGTTCCTCCTCCTCCCTTCCATGTTTCGGCCAGAACCGACGTTCCCTGACGAAGGAACGTTTCCCCTGCTCTTCTCTCCTAGCGCAGACGGCCTTTACACGGATGCTGCCTCGACGATCTCGTACGAAAAAGGCTATGATTACCAGCTGCGTTGAAGCGAGGTGCGTAATGTATGATGCACGCGCGTTGCGAGAAGATCGCGCGAATCCGAATTTCGCCTCAGCCCTTGCCACTACGAAGTGGAGCCAGCCGCGCGCAACGGCTGGCGCATGGAAGCTTGAAACAGAAACGGAGGGAGCGATAATAACGACTCCCCCCGCGGCGGGTTCCAAAACCACTGCGCCCCGCACGCCTGCTTTCGCAGCACCCCGCCGCGCAAGCCACAAAAAACAGTTTCATAACGCCGCCCGTCCGACTAGCATCCCCCTCCTGCTGCACAAGGAAGGCTCAGTAGCTCGACGCAACCACGAATCTCATTCGACTGGCTCGCGGGCGCCTCTGGCCCCCAGGGTCGCGCTTCGACCTCGTTCGCCGTGAGCTGCCATCCTAGGAGCTGCCCGCCCAATTTTAACTTCATGAATTCCACGTTCCGCCGTTGCGATCAGCACGCTCCTGCCGCCGATCGTCGGTCGACCATCCAACCGTGTGTTCCACCGTGATCTGCGCTGGCGCACGAAGAACATGCGTCGTCCCATCAGTTCCCGGAAAATGAAGCGTCTTTGTTACCTCGGCCCCTTTCGCGCGCCGCAAAGTGGGGGCGTTGACCTACGGAGCCCTAGATAAGGAACGAGGCCCCTTCTTCCATAAGATAAGCTTCGGTTTCCCATCGAACACCTGAGGACATCTAAAGGCGAACTGCAAAACAACTGAGGATCACTGAGCCCTTCCCGATCGAAAAGGGCTCCTCCTGCAGCGCCCCGAATGCACAAAAGGAGCGGCGCTAGCCAAAGGGGCCATCGCCCGACTCGCGCGCGCGCGCCCAGATTTCGGCGCCTCCTCTCGCCGAGTCTGCCCCGCGATCGTGAAAGCGCGGGCCCTGCCGCGATTGTCGCGGCGCCCGCGCGACGAGACAGTCGGGCAAACAATCGGGCCGGCTGCCGCGGCAGCGCCGCGATCCCCCGCGCCGGCCGCCCCCCGCCATCGCCGGCCAGCCGAGCTCGATCCAATGCGAGGGGCCTCCCCGGACGCCAGCGGCAGAATGGGCTCGGGCACCGAATGTAATTTCCTATCGTCTCTCGCATTTCTGTGTCAGCCTCAGTTCCTGGAGCATTTGCGCCCAGTCCACTCAGTCTCTGAGATTCGGCCTGGCACGGCCCCGCATTATAAAGATCGCAACCGTTGTGGGCCTCAGTCCGCTCGCTCCGATGGCGAGCTCTTCCCTGGCGCGAGCGCCCCGCGAGGTCTCGCTGTCGCTGACTGTCCAGACTCTACCACGGGCGCCAAGGACACATGCAATGATTTGTCATGCGTCATGTCCGCACAGCTCCTTGACGGACACAGCGCTGCTTGGGCCCTCGGAGAGACGCCGCCTCTGGGCGCCCTCGGACTCAGGAAATACTCCAAACAATATTCGGGAAAGCTGCAATCCCTGCTGGGGGATCGCCTTGTCTTCGCGATGTCCCTCCCGCGCGTCTCGGCGCGCGTGAAATGCGCAGCGCTCTGCGCGCCAAACAAAGGAGACGCTTTTTCAACGCCGCGCAAACAGTGGCGGCACTTATTTCGCTACGATAGAAACTCGATGCGCATTCAGTGGCTTCGCGTTCGCGCGAGAGCGAAACGCCCCTGCCCTGCGCTCATCTGACTCCACGCGGTTTCTCTGCCACTGGGCTCACATCGGGGACAAGCAACACACGCCGCGCGAGCACTGAAGGCACGCGATGGGAGCCACCCCAACTAACGGCCAATCCAAACACGTAGACGATCCAAGGGCAGCCGCTGATCGCAACGCGCGCAGATGGCAAACGAGAAATGCCAAACGATAAGAACATCGCCTCGTGTCCGCGGGGGCTGGCAGAACTCTGAAACCTCGTACCTTTATCGATGAGTCGATCGATGAATCCTCCGATCGACAGATCGACCGGCCCTTCTCCCCTGCGCCCTATCCCCCCAGTCCCATACTTGCAAGCGCTCGTTAAAAAAAAGAGGGCGGGTGCGCGGGAAAACTGAACTTAAAAAAAGATGCGAACGTCTTGACCTTTCTCCGTCTGGATGTTTTGTGACGCGCGTAGCCCGCGACACATGTTAGACGCGCGCTCGCGCGTCTAGCGCCAGTCCCTCAGCGGGATCGGGCGCGCAAAATGACGCCGCGACGCTTCTGCGGCGCGGAACGACGCGCGCTCAGCAACATTGCGGCGCGCTGTTCAGCCCGCGAGAGCACCGCATCAGCAGTGCGCGCCGCGCGTTTGGCAACCGCGACGCAGGGCATCTGAACCGCTTGCGAGCCCACCGCGTCACGCGCCGCAGCGGCGCGAATTCGGGCGAGGGGGGGGGGGGCGCTACTGCGCGATTTCCGCGTTCTCGAAAAACGGCCGCGGGGCTCACCTCAAGGCGCTGCTTTCTGGAGAACGCGAGGGGGCATCTGATGGATGAGTTGGCGTCGTCGAAGATGGTCGCGCGCTGCGTCCTGGGACGTTGTGGTGTCCCGCAGACGGTCGGTGAGCATCTCCTGTTGTTTTTTTATACCTCTCAGAGATCGCCGCGGGGGCATCTGTTGAATATTTTAACAGTTCGCAAGCGGAAGGGGAAAATGTCTGGAGCATTCGCACAATTCGCACATGCACTGAAGTGTCTTGGGAGCGTTGTAAGCATTCGAAAAATGCACTGGCACGTCCTTGGAGTATCTTGACCTATCGCAGATGGCACTGCTGTATTTGTGGTGTCTTGGAACTTCGCAGATGGCACTGGCGTTTCTCTGGGGTGTTTCGAAGTTTCGCAAATGGCGCTGGAGTAGATTCGATCTATGTTTGGGTTAGTTTGGAATATGTTGGGAGTGTTCTTCGAACGCGTGAAATCCGCGGGGGCATTTTCTGAAGTCTGCGGGAAATATTGCGTGAGCGTTTCAAGTCAACGGGTGTGTTTTTGGAATGTGTTGCGCGCGTTGTGCGCGCATTCCTCTGGACGAGGGAATGTTGAGTCGTCGGCGAGCGCGCCCGATCCCGCGCTGGAAATCCGCCGACCCGGCGTGTGAGTTGAAGAGGGGGGGTGGGCCTGGGCGGCTCTGCCGGGGTAAGGAAAGGGGGGGGGGGGGGGGGGGCTTCCACAGATTTCCCTTAGGAAACGTACATGTTTAGCATGTTCGTCTCTTTGGGCCTTCACAGTGTTCAAAACGGCTCAAGGGGCCCTCAAAAAGGCTCCAAGACGGCCTAAGAAGGGCGCACGCAGGCCCAGGAGGCCCCCAAGACGGCGCAAGAGGGCTCCAGGACGGGCCCAAGAGGCGCCCAAAAGGGTTCCAAGACGGCCCAAGAAGGGCCCAAGACGGCCCAGGAGGCCCACAGGAGGCCCCAAGACGCCCCCAAGAGGCCCCAACAGGCCCCAACTGGCCCCCAAGGACCCCCCAAAGGCCCCCAAGAAGCTCAAAAGCTGCCTCAACATCAGAATCAGCATCATCATCAGCATCGCCACCACCAACCCTTCCACCACAATCGTCATCATCAGCATCATCATCATCATCATCATCGTCGTCGTCATCATCATCATCATCATCATCATAATCATCAGCATTATCAGCATCATCATCAGCATTATCGTCATCATCATCATCACCGTCATCACCATCATATTCATCATCGTCATCGTCATCGTCATCGTCATCGTCATCGCCGTCATCGTCGTCAGCGCCATCATCAACATCACCGCCATCAGCATCATCAGCATCATCATCATCATGTTCATCAGCATCATCATCATCGCCATCATCATCATCCGGAGCGCCCCAGATCGGCGGCACTGGCCGGAGGCCATTCCAATATTTGTAAGCCCGTGGCACTCCAGGCATCCAAGGTACTGCTGCTGCGCTGGCGACGAGGCCTGCCTGCGCTCTGGATGCCCCGACGGCGACGGCGACGGCGACGACTGGGGCGCGCCGCGGGCTCCCAGCCCTGATTTTCCACGCGCGCAGTGGGCCCGCCCATCGGCGCGATTGAGTATGCGGAAACCACGAATGAATGCAAGCATATTGCTCCGCCCTGGTCGAAGCCGCCCCACTCTCGACCCCGTGCAATCCGCGCGACCACCTTGCCAATCCTATGTGTGAGCATAAATGCTTAATGTGTTTGTGAGTTGATATGACAATGTGCAGATGCAGCCCTATACTCCCCCCCCCCCCATCGCGCGCCCAAGTGTAGCCGAATCTGACCAGCCCCACTGAAACAACACATGCGGCCCTCCTCGTCTCTTGTGTGCATAAGACCTGGTGAACTTGTTTATATGCCATCTCTACGCCAACTCCGTTTCTGCCCTAGCCGGACCCGGCGCAACCGCATCCTGCGCCCATGCGCAGACAACCTGACTCACGGAAAACCTCAGTCCACTCGATCCTACCGCGCTCCATCCCAACTCCTGCGCCACTCCTATCTGCTTGATGATGGCATCGAATAGGTGATGCCTTGTCCGGTCTGGATTGCCCCCTCGTGCAATATACCGCGCGCGATTGCCGGAAGAGACCCAAATGCCGAACGCGAGGGGCGCCGGTCTTTGCGCGCCAACCATGTCGAAAGGGAGCAAGGCGGGGTGGATACACAAAAATGGCACGCAGGACCGAGGGGGCAAAGGGAGGGGGCTGAAGTTTCGCAGCGAGAACTTGAATGCCAGCGGCCACATAAACTGATCGGGCGGCTTTTGTGGACGCGCGTAACAAGATGGAATACAGCAGGGCTCCAAATTTGCGGGGCCACTGTCGCCTGCCCAGTGAGTACTCGTCGGATTGCTCACGCCGCGCGCAGACTTAATCGCAGCGCCGCACCATCCAGTCCGCGACGGCAGCGCGCGGCCGACCCTCCTTGCGTACGTTGCACATACCACATCAGCCAAATATGCGCGCCGCTGCTGAAACTCGATAACGCGCGCTGCCTCCGCCAACTGCGGAGAAACAAGTCACGGTGGAACCTCACGGCGCAGCGTGTTTTCCGACCGCGTGCGTCGTGCGTTCGCCGAGCCAATATCCAGACAACGATTGCCAGAGAAAAAGTGTTTGAACATTTTGAACCCAGCATGGGGGCATCGCAGCAGTACATGTGCCCACTTCTGTCTTGTAAAATTCGACAAACCTGCCCCCCCCCGCCCACCCGCCCACCCACCCGCCCACGCGCGCTAAACCCCGCCCGCAAGCAGTTTCGCGAGCGCTTCCGGTGGAAATGGCCGTCCATATCAGGCATGCCCTTCAACGCTTGGCTCTCGCTCGGCACAGCTATGAAGCGCGGCTGTGTAACTCGAATGATTCCGCGGGAGTAGCGTCAATCTTGATGCTCTTCGATCGCGGATCTCCGACCCGCGTTGGCAGCCTCGCGCGCCATGGCAAATGCCCCAGATGCCTCGGCAAGCTCCGGACACTTGTTCGTAACGTTTGCACCGCCCGGCGCCAGATGTGCCTCGTGATGGGCACAGGCCGGAGCGTCAAAAGACACACGCACTTCAACTCCGCCCACGTCTCCCTCGGGCAAATTCAAGCATCCATCGCCGTCGAACCTCGCGCCGTCGCGAACCCGGCCCCGCCGCGTTTCAACCTGAGCCTGCACGGGAACGGAAAGAGCGCTTCAGCAACCTGCCCGATATGGCTCATGGCACCCTTCGCTATTGGGGGCCTTGGTGTTAAGAGCTTGTTGCGTAAGGGCTCGTTCTTGGGAGCCTTGCTGATAAGCGAGTGTTGCGCCACTGCTCTCTGATGGGAGCCTTGCTGCAAGAGCTTGTTGCGTCACCGCTTTCTGTTCAGAATCCTGTGCCCAGAGATGCTCACGTTGCCGCTCGCTCTTGGGAGCCTTGGTGGTGAAGGCTTGCTGCGTCACCGCTCGCTCTTGGGAACCTTGCTGGTAAGCGCGTGCCACGTCACCGCTCTCAGTTGGGATCCTTGATCCTCCTCCTCCTTCTCCTGCTCCACATCCTCCTATAAATACTAATGGTATTCGAAAACTCCTCGTCCTCCTCCTCCTCTGCCTCCTCCTCTGCCTCCTCCTCCTCCTCCTCCTCCTCCTCATCCTCCTCCTTTTCAAACTCTGATTCTCCTCCTCGTCCTGCTCTTCGTGCTCCTCCTCCTCCCTTCTCGCCCTCCTCCTCCTCCTCATCCTCATCCTCCTCTTCCTCCTCCTCCTCCTCCTCCTCCTCCTCCTCCTCCTCCAGCCTCGTCCTCGCCCTTTTCCTCCACCTCCTTTTACTCCTCCTTTGTTCTACTCCTCCTCCTCCTTTCCCTCCTCCTCCTCCTCCTCCTCCTCCTCCTCCTCCTCCTCGTCTTCCTCTCTCTCTCTCTCTCTCTCTCTCTCTTTATATATATATATATATGTATCTCCACTTCCTGATCTTCCTCCTCCTCCTTCTCCTCCTCCTCCTTCTACCTCCCTCCCTCCGCCTCCTCCTCCTCCTCATCCCCCTCCTCTCCTCGTTATCTTTCTCCTCCTCCTCCTTTTCCTCCTCCTCATCCTCCTCCTCATCAACATCATCAACAACAACAGCATCAACAACATGATCATGATCATCATCCGTGTACTCTTCCTCCTCCTCCTCCTCCTCCTCCTCCTCCTCCTCCTATTCGTCCTCTTCGTCCTCATCCTCCTCTTCCTCCTCCTCCACTTCTCCTCCACTTCCTCCTCCACTTCCTCCTCCCCCTCCTCCTGGGGCCCGCTTGGGAGCCTTTTGGGTCCCTCTTGGGCCGTCTTGGGACCCTCTTGGGCCGTCTGCGGGCCTTGTTGGTCCGTTGTCGGCCCCTTTGGGGGGCCTCTGAGGCTGTCTTGGGATGATATTTGGGGCCTCTTGGGCCGTCTTGTGCCCGTCTGGTGGCCCTGTTGGACAGTTTTGGGCCCATTTGGGGCGTTGGCCGTCTGGGGCCCATCTGGCATTGAAAAGGGGAGCACCGGAAAAAAAACTGCAAAAACCATAAAGAACTCAATGTTTTTGGCCTCCTGAGGCCCTCTCGGAGGCCCTCATGAGGGCCTGTGGAACCGTCTCGAGACTCTCTTGGAACGTCTGGAGGCCATCTGAAACTCTCTTGCGGCCGTCGTGGGGCCCTCCGCAGCCGTCTTGGGGCCCTCTTGCGCCGTCCTGGGGCCCTCTGGCCGGCTTCCCTTGAAATGGTACAGAGAAACAGGCCATGGGATCCGCCCGGGAGCCGCTTGACTCGAGGGAAAGAACAAGGGAAACGGGGCCAGTAGACCAACCACCCGTGCCTCGCCCCTCCCCTGGGCCCCTCCCTAGGGGGGTTCGCCTCAGCTGCGCGTCATCACTCGCACCTCGCTCTTTCCGTTCCCTCAAGGTTTCCTCGGCTTGGTCCGCGGCTGCGGCCAGCCAACTGCTGGCAGGGACCCCTCTTCGTTATCGCGGTTGTCGTCGGCGCCGTTCCTGCCCCAGTCGGCGCTTCTGTGCCGCACGGAAACGAAGGTGCTCCATATCCGCATGGGTCAAGCGGCAAGTGGTGGGCCTAGGGAAGTGTTCCCGTTAAAACCTCACCAGGTCGATACATTCTTGTTCCGTAGTGAACGCTCCCGCACTTCTTCCTTCATCCTTCTCGACTGGGACGACGTTGACCTTGAGTTGTCTTCTCCCGCGCCTGCGCTGGGGACGTATTCCTCGCGTGTGGGGTTCAGGTGAAGCAGGGCGAACTCGGCTGCGGTGGGCATCGTCTCTTTGTTGGCTGCGGGCCGGTGCCACTGACTCGGACATGCCAAATGGCACAGGGACCTTACGCGTGAAATCCTTACCTCCTTCGGTAAAGTCGTCGTGACCAGCTCCAACAGCACTGTGACCCGCCGCCCCGGCCTCAAGATCGTGTGATTGCCCCCGCAAAGATGACATCGGATACGGCATTATCGATCTCGCCATCGTGGGTCCGTTGGGAAATCCGTCCCGTCCGCCACGACATACGCCACAGGTAAGGCTGTAATGCCACCTCTCGACGTCAAGGCCGCACCGTCCACTCAAACGATTTCCTTGGTCTGGTGCGATTATTGTTGGACTCCCCCGGCGTATGTCGGGAGACAGTGGATACGTCCGATCCGAGCTCTGAGTGCCGAGGCGAGTATCCTTCCTCCGTGGAGGCGTTCTGGAGGGCACGGGGCTTTCTTCCTGAGCGTGAACCTGTTTTATGCGTCATGGCCTACACTCTCGGTCCGAGTTGTCCTGACAATCTGACTCGTCAGGCTTCTCACTGCCACTGCAGTAGCTCTGAACAACCGCGTTACAAAAAACTTGTGATGGTCGCCAGGACGCACTGCGTCAGATCCTCAATGCATGCTAATCTCGGCAAGTAAACCGTTGTTCGTCTAATAATCGACATTCCCTGACGAACGTGCGCCTCCCTCGTTCTTCTCTCCGAACTCGGGGGGGGGTCCTTAATGTGGATAGTGTAGATCGATGGCCCTGCAACGGTAAAATACGACATGGCGATGGTCATCCGGCAAATGTGAGGTAACATATTGTACGCGCGCTACGAGAGGGACGCGCGGATCATGCATGTCAAGACGCGAACTGCGTCCCAGTTTTTACAAGACGCGAGCTGCGTCCCAACCTTTATGCGCGCAACGGCACGCGTATGGAAAGCGTAGAAGAGAGGCGGAGGGTCTACCCTCCTCCTCCTCCTCCTCTCCCACCCTCTTCCTCATTCCTCATCCGCCATCATTATCATTACACCTCCTGTTCCCCCCCCTCTTACTCCTCAAAATCGACCGTCGCTGTCGTCCTTCCCCCCCTTCCTCCGCCCCCTGCTGACGATCGGCGTTGTCGTCGTCCTACACCCCTTCCTCATCGTTCCCCTCTTCGCTTCCGTCGATTATCGCCATCGTAATCCTCCCTTTCCCCTTGCCTAGTATTTACCTCCTTCGCCTCCTCCTCCGCCTCCTCTTCCTTCAGCATCCCTTCTACTGGTCCTGTTCCTCTCAGCGGTCGTCGCCATGGCAGTGCTCCCCCATGGCCCTTGTCCTCCTTCCTTATCCTCTTCCAAAATCTCTCCTCCTCCTCCTCCTCCTGCTTCTCCTCCCGTCGATCCTCGTCATCGTTATCGTCATCCTCCTCCTGTTTATACTTCTCGTCCTCCTCCGTTCCTCGCTTGCCTCATGCTCACCATCTGATTCGTCTCCTCCTCCGCCTCATCCTCCTCGTCCTCCTCTTTCTCATTCTGCTTCTCCACCTTCGTCGCCCCTTTGCCAGCTTCAAAACGGCAATCCTTCTCATCTGTATCCTCCTCCCCCCCTCCACCTCATCCTATTCCTCGCCATATTCCTCCTACTCGTCCCCGCTCACATCCACCTTCTTTCTTCTCGCCCTCTATTCATCGTGGTCGCGTTCCTCCTCCTCCCCATCCTCCTCCTCCTCCTCCTCGTCCTCCTCCTCCTCCTCCTCCTCCTCCTCCTCTTGCTCCTCATTCTCCTCTTCACCTCGTTCCACCTCTTCCTCCCCCCATTGAAGATGTCTGACTACCCCTGGGTCTCGGACTCCATGACTCCCGGCCTGCTTTTGACCTCATCGCAACTCGATGGGTTCGTCTGGCGGGCACATATCAAGGTATATCATACCAAGTCTCGGTGATCAAGGTAGGTGCGTGCACTGAACTATACGTCCCAGCCGCGGGGAAAAAGACATCGGGATTCCATCACAGAGCCGACCCCGAATTTAGACTTCAGCGACACTGCCCCGTATCTTAGGGACCATGCGTGGTCGGGCAAGAGATATTCAAAATACCGCCCGCCAGGCCGTGCACCAGAACCTGAAAAGCCGAAGATGCTACATAGATACTCAAGGATACATAGACCGACCGAATGCCGATGCGCCGCGGTTAGCACTGCAGCGCATGGGGCAACTATCTTTACTGCCCAGCCACTCGCGGATGCAGCCATCGTGAAAGAAATGAGAACATGGAAGTCTCCCTATATCGCAGCCCTCGGCAAAGTCGTCCATGCAGATAATGCATGTGGACTCGAAAGAGCCCGACGAATCGGGACAGAACGCGAACGTCTCTATCTGCGACAGCGACACGGGAATCCGCTCCAGCGATTTAGCCCTCGCGAGGGCATCCCGCCTCGAGGCATCCACCGGCCCGAAGCACGAGAACACCCAGAGGAAGCCGAGAAAGAGGGTGGGTACCTGGCAGACCAGCGTCATCGCAGCGAAGGGCGGCCGGTCAGGCGGGTCAGCGGCATACCCGAGGAGATCCAGAAAGAGATACGCATAGCCTTAGGTCGGGCTTGTCCTCCTACAGGAGGATTTTGGAAGATAAGCGAACAAAGAGTCAAAGCATATCCAATTTAGTCAAATATTGGAGAAACATGGTCCACATATTAGTTGTTTACAAATTTTGAATGCTCCTCCTGTAGATGGACATGCCCGACTTAAGCATAGCCGCCGCATATCAGGATCGACATGCAGGACCCATGGCTGTACATGAGCCACGTCCGCCTGCTGGCCAAAGCGCCGCCGCCCGGGGAACACCGACCTCGGTGGCAGAGGGGCCACAGAAAAGAAACAGAATTGCCATACAGCGGAGGCCGGTCCACAAGAAGCCTTCCACAAGAAGCCCAACCCTGAGACCCCGGGGCGCCCATGGACTTCTGGTGTGGGAGCGTCACGCTGTCCATGGCAAAAGCCCCGAGACGAAACCCAAGAAACCCATGGGCACCCTGGACTGGGTAGTCGAAGCCAATCTGGCGCCAATCTGGCAGGCCCAATCTGGCAAACGGGGGCAATCTGGCGAGGGAGCCAACGCGAATCCAGTCTGGCGAATAACCCAAATCCTCCAGTTTGGCCGGGCCAGATTGGGTCTTGGGGCCCAATCCAATCTGACAGTCTGGCCTTCGACTACCCAGCTGGAGGCAAGCAGGGTGTTTCTTGGCATGGGCTTCCACGGGACGCTTTCCGGAGGAACGCGCGGGGGCTTCTTTGGATCGGCGCTGGACCCCTCCAGGGCTACCAACTTCGCGCTTCGCGCTTCGCGCGAAGCACGAATAGCTTTGCGCTCTCGCGCCGCCTCCCAGGGGAGAAGAGGAGGATGAGGAGGAATCGGAACCGAACCGCGAGGCGCGAATCACTTCGTGCCCTCGACGGCGCCCTTGACACCCCCTGGCGTCGCCTCCTGCGCTGCCTCTGGCGCGACCCGCGCACCTGGGATGGGGGCCCAGCGCCGATGCAGGACGTCCGCGCAGACCTGCGAATGCTTGTGCTTGTGCCCGTTCTTCTTTTTTAGAAGTCAAAGAATCCCCCCCCCGTAATAACCACCCCGACACGCGAAGACGTTGATAAAACGCTCCCAAACAAGGAATCAAACAGGGCTGGGCTGTTTAGTAAACGCCCAGGACTGTTGAGTAAACGCCAATCGTCGGGTCTGGGTGGTGTTTCCTCCCTTGACTTGTGCCCGTTCCCTCCTTGAGGAGGGGAGCGGCAGAAATGGGGGGCAGGAGGGGCGATGAGAGTGGGCGTTGTTTGGGCGAAGAAGGGAAACGTCGAGCTTGAATCGGCGATGCATCAGCGATAGATCGGCGATGCCGAAACCCAGCGTTCCTGGGCGGGGTGCGCCTAACAGGCCCGCGTCGGCGATGAATGGGCGACCGGGGGTCGATGCGCCAATCCCCCCTCCATGAGCCGATCCCTCCTGGCGTTGCTCCTGAGGGGGTTGTGCCTCTTCCTGCGTCCCCCCGCCGCAGACGCGCACAAGTGTCACCACCGCCAAAACTGGCGAGCCGCACGAAGGGGCGACGAGAGGGGGAGACTCCTCCCCTCTAGGAAGCCGCAACCCCTGGATTTGGACTTGGATGAGGAGGGGGAGGAGGAGGAGGAGGAGGAAAAGGGGGAGCAACACAACCACCTGCTGTACAATTCCCCGTGCCCACGCGGGGCCTTCCCCTTCCGCCCGCGCGCGTCTGCCATCCCTCCGTGACGCTGCTGCCGCGGCGTGCCGAGACGCTCCTTGTAAGCCCCCGGGGGGTCTGCATCTTTGAAGGGGCCCTGGGACACACAAGCGAGAGGCACGCGTGCCATGGCTCTTTCACAAAAAGGAACGGGGAGGAAGCGGAGGGGGCGCGCTGGCTGGTGGATGGGGCGATGGAAGGGCGCTCGGGATGGGGGGGCGGTGCCGTGCCGAAAAAAGGGGTCGGGGCGGAAGGGGCGCGTTGGCTGGTGGGTGGGGCGATGCAGACGGGGCGCTCGAAATTGGGGGACGGTGCCGTGACGAAATGAAAGGGTCGGGGCGGAGGGGGCGGTGCCGCGCCGAAATAACAGGGGTCGGGGCGGAGGGGGCGCGCTGGCTGGCGGGTGGGGGGGGTGCGGAGGGGGCGCGGGCGGAGGGGGCGCGCTGGCTGGTGGGTGAGAGGATGCGGAGGGCCTAAAGCACGGGGTCGGGACGGGGCGGTGCCGCGCCGAAATAAAAAGGTCGGGGCGGGGGTGGCGCTCTGGCTGGTGGGTCACGCGGATAAGGCGCGCGGGATGCGGGGGAGCGGTGTCGTGCCGAGAAAAAGAGGCCGGGGCGGAGGGGGCGCTCTGGCTGGGGCGGGTTGGGGGATGGGATGGGTGTGCGCGGGATGGGAGCGGGGCGGTGCCGTGCCGAAAAAGAGGGATCGGGACGGAGGGGGTGCGCTGGCTGGCGCGTGGGGCGCGCTGGCTGGTTGGTGGGGGGATGGGGAAGGGGGCGCGCGGGATGGGAGGGGGGCGGTGCCGTGCCGAAAAAATGGAAGGGTCGGGGCGGAGGAGGCGGCGCCGTGTCGAAACAAAGGGGTCCAGGCCGAGGGGGCGCGGTGGCTGGCGGACGGGAGTGCGCGGAGGTATCGCGGGCCGGAGGGGGCGCGCTGGCTGGTAGCTGGGGGGATGCGGAGGACTTATAGTACGGGGAGCACGCTCTGGTTGGCGGGGGGAAGGGTGCGGAAGACGCGCGCGGGATTGGCGGGCCGTGCCGTGCCGAACGAAAAGGGCCCGGGGCGGAGGGGGCGCACTGGCTGGTGAGCGGGGGGGCGCGGCGGAGGTGCGCAGGATGGGGAAGGGGGGCGGTGCCGTGCCGAAAGAAAAGGGGGTCGGGGCGGAGGGGGCGCGCTGGCTGGCGGGTTTCCTCTGGTCCTTCTCTCCTCCTCCTCCTCCTCCTCTCCTCCTCTCCTCCTCTCCTCCTCTCCTCCTCCTCCTCCTCCTCCTCCTCCTCCTCCTCCTCCTATTCCTCCTCCTCCTACTCCTCCTCCTCCTCCTCCTCCTCCGATGGAGATGGAGGCTCGGGATGGTGGGGGAAGCAGTGCCATGCCGAAATCAATGGGTCGGGGCGGAGTGGGCGCGCTGGTTGGTGGGCGGGGTGGTGCAAGGGGGCCGTTCGGGACGGGATGGGCGGTGCCGTTCCGAGGGGTCTTGGCGGAAGCGGCGCGCTGCTTGTTGGGGGGACGATGCTCATGGGGCGTGCGGGATGGGGGGGCGGTGCCGTGCCGAAATGAAATGGTCGGGGCGGAAGGGGCGCGCTGGCTGGTGGTCGGGGCGATGCGGAGGTGGGGCGCGGGATGGGGGGGGGTGGCGTGCCGAAGTAAAGCGGTCGGAGCCTTACACGCCATTTGCAAGACAACAAAAGGGTCGGGGTGGAGAGGGCGCGCTGGCGGGTGGGCGGGGGGATGTGGAGACCCTATATTACGGGGTCAGGGCGGATGGGGCGCGCTGCGGGCTGGTGGGACCGACGCGCGGCGCGCTGGCTGGGTAGGGGGCGGTGCCGTGCCGAACTACATGGGTCGGTGCGGCGGAGGGGGCGCGGGGCGGTGCCGCGCCGAAATGAAAAGGTCGGGGCGGAGGGGGCGCGCTGGTTTGCGGGTGGCGCGCAGGATGGGGGTGGGGGGGCCGTGCCGAAATAAAAAGGTCGGGGCGGAGGGGCGCGCTGGCTGGGGGGGGCCCTTTTCCTTCTCACCTGCTCCCCCTCGCTCGCGGCCGATGTTCTTCTTCGACCGAATCGCGCGGTGACCACCAATCTCCTCTGGCTCACCACCCGGGGCGCGCAAACATGTATTAACGAGCCATGGATTTGGCACGCGGCCGCCAAATCCATGGATCGGGGGAGGTGCCCTCCTCAAAATGCGGCCAATGCCGCCTCGTTCGGCGGCGGAAATCCGTTTCCCATGGGAACGGGACCCGTCGTTAATCCACGCCCCCTTGATCCATGTTTGCGATCGCCTGGACCACGCAACGTGGTCGCCACATTTTCCGCTGCGGCTACCGACCTGTCCCGGCCAGGAAGATGACAGCCCGCGTCAGCGACAGGCACAGGACGGCCAGCGCGCACTTCCACTCGTCGGGGGGGAAGCCCTTGACGCTCGCCTGCCGAGTCCCCTCCTCCCTGCCTCCCTCTCAAGCCACTCCTCCCTCCCCCGCCTCCTCGCTCCTCCCTTTCCTCCTCCCTTTCCTCCTCGCCCCTGCCTCTCATCCTTGTTCCTCCTCGTTCCTCCCTCCACCACCTCCTCCTCCTCCTCCCTCTCCTCCTTTTCCTCCTCCTCCTCATCCCCACTCCCCAATCCCCACTCCCCGCCCCCCACTTCTCACACCTCACTCCTCCCTCCTCCCTCCTCACTCCTCACTTATCCACCTTTTCCCCGCCTTCTCCCCCCCTCCCCTCCTGCTAAGCCTGCCCCCTGCTCCTGCTACTACTGCTGGTCCTCCCCATCCATTTCCTTATAGGTACCCCCTGCTCCTCCTCCTCCTCCTCCTCCTCCTCTTCCTCCTCCTCCTCTACCTCCGCCTCCTCCTCCTCTTCTGTTTCTTCGTATTATGATTCGCATTATTATTCGTAGTAGTATTGTTAGTCTTATTATGCTTATTCTTAGTATCATCATTCGTAGTATTCTTCTTACTAGTATTATTATTAGTATTAGTATTAGTATTATTATTATCATTCGTGTTATTGTTATTACTAATACTGTCCTTATTATTATTAATACCATTCGTATTATTATTCTTATTGTTTTTCTTGTTATGCTCATTATTATTGTTGCTATTATTATTATTCCTCCTCCTCCTCCTCCTCCTCCTCCTCCTCCTCCTCCTCCCCCTCCTCTGACCGCCACGCGTGACGGTCGGGCGGGCCGGGCGGGCCGCCCGAAACTATGCATGTCCACAGATGTATCTCGAGGTCGAGAATTGCAACGATGAGACGGGAGAGACATGCTATCATGTGCGAGGCACCAGGGTTCCCAGACCGTCAACCCCAGCGCTGACCAGGATTTGGGTGGCCTGGTCAGTAGTGGTCACCCGGTCGCTGCGCGTGCACTATGATCCTGGATCTAGAAAAACGAACTACGAGAGACAATTCTTTGACTGCCGAGATTATGCGAACTACATGCGGCTTTCACCATCAAGAGGTACACGCTGAACTCGGCGCTCGCGTTAGTGTCCCGCGCAGTCGTCCGGAGCGCTTCCGACGGCCCTACGATTAGACACAGCTGATGCATGCGGGCCAGCGTGGACCCTAAACAACACGGTGCAGATGGAAGCTATACGATGTAAACTACGTTAAAGCTTGGTCGTGTAGATATGTGGTCTGGGCTGAGGAAATAGTACTCAAAAGCTAGGCGGTGTACAACGTGTAGTGTAAGCAATGTCGTGTAAGCTAGGCGGTGTGGACTGGAGGTGGAAGCTAAGAGGTGCAAGCTATGTGATATAAGCGATGTTTGTAATCCTGCCAGCCCTCTGGGTGTAGGTGGTCTAACGAGTTTTGTCTTCTCTCTGCCAACGCTCCCTCTTTCCCCTGCTCGGGGGATGGGTTCATCACTGTTCCCTGTAACTCTACACCCCCTCCCACAGGCGACCGGTCGCCAACCCGGAATCATTAGGACCCCATGCTCACCCTCCACCATCCCTGTCAAACAAACAATACAAACCGCACTCTGCCTCTACATTTGGAGCATGCGCGGCCAACCCGATGCGCCCCCCCACCATCCCCGTCAAAAACAATGCAAAGTTGTGGGCAAGGTATTGAGCCATGTTCGTGAGGCCCGCGAGCACTTTGTATTGTTCTTGACAGGGAGGCGATGGTGTCAGCATATTGCCTGCTGTGTGCAGGCCGACCATCCCTAACAGAAACCGAAACAAAATTCACCTCGTGGCTAAACCTGGATCGTGCGCGGCCACCACGCGAACACTGTCAAGTGTTTTTGTTGACGGACACGGCGGGGGTGCTGGCGTATGGCCTGCTGTGCGCAGGCCCACCGAACACCATGATGGGCATCGGTTTGCGTCAAGGATGATGGGGCCGACATGTGTTCCGATGTGTGCTGCCACGTGCGCAGGCACACCAGACGCACCGTGCACGTGCCCCGAACATGGCGCACCTGGCGCGGCTAGAGTGCGGCACACCTGGCGCACTCGGAGCACGTGGCGCATCTGGCGCACCGATCGTCGCGCACCTGGGGTCGGTTCTGGTTACCAGTAGCTGCCCATCCAAAGACGACCGCTGAACATGCTCAGGCTCGGGTGTTACTCATGTGTTGGGAGGGCGGTTGGGAGTGAGCTAGACGGCTTGCGGGCGGGTGGGTATCTTGACCCCTCCCCCTACCCGCTCCCTTGGGCCTGGAAGGGCGCCCCGCGAGGGGTCAGAGCGTCAAAGATGGCTCAAGATGGCTCCAAGAGGGCCTCTGAGAGCGCAGGTTGGCATCCGAGATTGCGCAAGATAGCTCAAGATGGATCTATAGAATCTCCGTTCAACAGCCAAGAGACCCCAAGACGGCCCCAAAACGGTTGCAAGTGCCCTTCGAGCCCACAATGTCTGTTGCGTTATCGCCTTGCCGCTTCCGAATTGGCTTTTGAAACCTTCACATGGCCCTAAAATAGCCCAAGACAGTCACAATAGCCCAAGACGTGTCCATGAGGGCCCCAAGACGGCCAAAAGAGCGCCCACGAGCGCCCCAGTATGGATCGAAGGCAGTTTTCTAGCTTTCGGGGGGGGCTGAGTTCACTACCCTCCCTCTTTTTGAGCATGGGGCGACCTCCCACCCAGACAGCCGCAAGAGAGCCCCAAGAAGGCCCCAAGGGAGCTCCAAGAGGGCCTCACCTCCGAGAGAACGGTGTCCTCAAGGCGGCTGTTACACTGCGCTCTTCCACACTTCCCCGATCCAGGCAACTCGCCTGGCGAACTGCTTCTGGATGGGCTGGTGGGGATCTTGTTCTGATCGCGCTGGCGGCGAACGAGATCGGGCGGCGACCAGGAGCGTAGCACACGGGCAACGGCCGAAATTCGCGCACAGGGAAAAGGAGGGGCGAAAAGAAGCAAAAAGAAGCGTCGATGATGCTTGCGGTGTACTCCAAATCCCTCATTCATCGGCCCCCCCCAAAAAAATCAGACCCCCCTCCAAATGCGACCTAATATTCCCGACCCCCCTCTTCGACGGGGCGCCTTCATAAGCCGGCCCCGCTAAATTCCGATCCAAGGAAAGCGCCCATAATAAACCGGACCCCCCAGTTACAGAAAAGGCGCCTTCAGAAGCCGGACCTGGGGGGACGATTGAGAAAGGAATCTGGAGCAAAGATCCCTGCGGAGGAGAGGCCCTCCGAATCGAGCCCCCCCCCTGGCGGTGGCCGCCAGGAGGCGTTCGACTCGGAGGCGGCCCGTCGGACGAGGGGGGCTTCGTCAGCTCCGAAGGCGGCCGGATTGGGAGCAGGCGGTGCTGCGCGGTGCAAGCCGCGTGGGGAGGGCCACGCCGTGCGAGCTTCGAGCACCAAGGGCTCCCAACTTCGCGCTCCGCGCTGCGCGAGGGCGCGAGAGCGCGAAGGGCCTCGCGCCCTCGCGCCGCCTCCTAGGGGAGAGGAGGAGGAGGAGGAGGAGGAGGAGGAGGAGGAGGAGGAGGAGGAGGACGAGGAGGAGGAGGAGGAGGAGGAGGAGGAGGAAGAGGAGGAAGCCACGGGCTGAGGAGGGGTCCGCCGTCGCGGTGGGGTCGTGTCGTCCCCTCGTTCGGCCAGCCCCGTCAGCCCGGGCCAGCGCGCCGCGGCGCCATAAAAAGAAGCAAATCAAAGCTAAAGAAGAGGCGCCGCCGCCGCGACGCCCAGGCGAAGGGAAGACGCATAGGCAGAAGGAAGAAAGCTGGCACAGGAGGGCCCGCATCGCGCGGGGCCACGCCAGGACACTGTTGAAAGTGGCAGCTGCCGCCAGGACTCTGTCAGAACATCACAGTGCCCAGAAGTACTTAGACCAGCCCGTCGACAAGATGACGCAGAGCTGGAAGCAGCAGCAGCCCCGCGGCGATTCGAGGGAAAGGTGGTCAGGAGCAGGGACCACACACCTAGAGCCGTCGCAGCCGCGCGGCGCAGGGCCCAGGTGGACAGGAGCAGGGTCCACAGCCCAGGCGCCAGCGCGAGGCTTTGGGGAAAGGTGGTCAAGAGCAGGGACCACACACCCTGGGCCAGCCGTCGGGGCGCAGCCGTGGCCTTGGAGGAGTTCATGGAATCGCTCAGAGTCCAGGAAGCAAACCGCCAAAAACAGGAGTTCCTGGAATCGCTCAGAGTCCAGGGCGCAGGCCGCCGTGCACATCCAGGAGCACACCCCCAGCAAGAAACAACAGGCCATCGCCGACTCCGTGCTAGAGCTCCCGCACTCCGAATCCCAGGACCACGAATCCTTCGGCCTGCCGCCAGAGGACCCCGACACGAGGCAGCTCTGGACGAGGAACCTTCAACAGCGGCTCGGTCGAGTCGCCGACCAGATCCACGGCGCGCAGTCGGCCACGGTTGACGCCAGCAAACTCATCACGGAGGCCGCGGTGATCAAGTGCATGTTGGCGATGGCTACTGACCCACACGTACGGCTTAAACACTACCGCTCTCAGATCGAGCGCTGGCAAAAGAACAGAGAGACATCTCGGAGAAAACGGAAGCTCTGAAAGCCAAGGCGGACTTCAACACCCAGCTCATCGCGGACCTGAAGCGCCTCGTCACGGATGTGAAGCTCGAGATTGCCGCCGAAGCCGGCACGGACTGCGAAGCCGACTCTGGAACGACCAGAAGCAATACAAAACCAGGAGAGCCGACACCCCATTTCGCCGCCGTGCCTGCCGAGAGCCTCCATCTTCGCGCTCGAGCAGGCCGGCCACACCAGCACCCAGCATCGCGGAGGAGCTCATGCAGAAGGAGGAAGAAGCGTGCCGAGGGAGGAGCAACCATGTCCAGATCGCCAACGCCGAGCTCCGCAGGAAGACCGAAAAGTACGAGGAGGAGGTCGACACCATGCGCCAGCGCTTCGCCGAGATGAAGATGCAAAGCCACGACAGGCTCGAGCACCACGAGCAGGAGCTCTCCCAGAAGGCACTGAACGCGACGGAGCAGGCCATGTCAAG